AACCATCACACCTTTCTTGGTTTTAATCTTCCTTCCAGTAGTGGGTGGTAATCGGTATCCTTTCACTGCATACGGTGTTCTTCTGAAGTTGAAATGCTAATGGTGCCATTTGGTGAGGTGAGCTGCATTAGGTTATACAATATAACTGTAAATTGGAAATTGTTTAAGCTTTCAAATTTGTTTCTGGCATTCGATTTTCTCATGATTCGTTTACCTTTCTAATTGGATTTTAACAGATACTTTGTGTTTCAAAACTTGAAATGGTGAAGAATTAGGTAACACAGAGCCTTTAGGAATAGCCAGCCCCCTAGCTGTATTTAATTCATAACCGATCAGTAAATGAAGGTGGTGAGAGTCATAGAAAATGCTGAGTAACAAAGTGATGGTGCTTTAAAAATCTAGTGATTAATTACGAGGATAATAAGCAGAATGACTAACGTGATTTGTCTAAGTCCTACTGAAGTGTTGGGGTCGGTTGAGCAAGATCCTAAAGATGACTTTTAGCCTTGCCCTTCCACCCTTTTCCTAGGTCTGTCATCTATTCTCGGCTCACTTGAACCTGTGTAGAATTACCTCATAAGTTAATTTAAAACTCTTTCTGTAGAAACAGAGCAGAGCAATAACTGGTTGATTCTGCTCCTGAACAGCAGGAGACCTTTAAATCCACGTGAGAAGGATCTTCTCATCCCTTCCTCAGAGCGCACTCACGTTTGCTGACTGTTGGAGAGGGCTAGATGATCATCTTCATATATGGTAAATCCAAAGTGAGACTTCCAAATTGGTCTCAGTTCCACCACAAGAGCATTACTGTATAGTCAAAGTCCCCTATCCTGCCAGTACGAGTGAATCTCCCCATCTGAGAAGGTGCTATACTCCTTCAAGTTCCCCATGGCTTGAAAAATCCATATAAAACCCTTTACTGAAGGAAAGGGATTTGAATGCAGGGAGGTGTAAATAAGCTTCCACATGCAAGGAAGGAAGAGATATCTGATCATCAGATTTTGCTATTTGAGAAGGAGTAAGCTACCAGTTTGGGCTGCCTCTATACCTGCCGTATTGTAAAGGAGGGATGTAAGCAAACTGAATTTCATCTTCTCATCATAAGACAGCTCCTAGCCCCTTGCTGAATGCTGAATGCCTGCATAGCCATGAACGGGAGCAGTGCCTGAAGAAATCACTGGGTTACTTCCTCATTCCTATAACCTTTTTTCCTCATCTTGACATTATCTGCATAGTTAAAGAGCTTTTACTGGCCTCAGATTTAAAAATGGTTTGAATCCTTCCTGACTGGAGGAGAGAAAGGCAATGGCCAGTTTCATCGGCTGCCTAACAGTATACTCTGTCACATGTGTACCAAGTAATAGCACAGCTATAGCTAAATAAGCATTTAGTCCTTGTTTATGATTTTTATCTCCAATGGGAAACGGGCACATTTTTCACTAGTATCCTGCTGTAATATCATGTGTTTGTGTAGGAAGTGGTATAGATTGAGTTTGTTTCTACAGCCCTAGAATATTATACCAGTGACATCAAGAATATCTGTTCATTATCTCCCATTCTTTCATTCTGGAGATTAGAAGCAAGATCTCAGATAAAAAACGTTCTTCTGCGTTTCTGCAAAATTTCAAAGCACAATATTCAAAAGAGCAAGAAGGACATAGCATTTGGTTGAGACAGAAAAAAATGTATATTTAGCATCACCACTAACAGGACTTTGTTGGTGTTTATCTGAGATGTAGATTTCTTCTGCACCGTTTCAGTTCTTTCTTTGCTCTGTGACTCAGCTGTCTTTTGGAAAGATGGAGAATAATATTTTTCTCCATCAAAAAAGAGGGGACGAGATCAGTGGAGACAAGAGAGCTATCACTGAGACAGGCAAAGTGTACAGATGCATCTTTTGGCCGTTCTGTGTGATCCCCTTCATATCTCTCCTTTGTCCAGAATGTCCTTGTGTGAATAGCCTTTCAGTGAAGAATTAGAAAATGCATGTTCAGTAAAGTCCGAAGTACATCACGTTACCAATATTTTTAAAATTCCCCTTAATATCCATGATCCATTATTTTTACAGCAAAGAATACTTCAATACACTTCAAGCTTCAATACATAAAAATTTGCACAGGTACTGTGTATTTTTAAACCAGATGGGCTTCTTAGCCCACATATTGGATATAACAAAACAAATTTAATCTTTTAAGATTCTTTTTTTTTTTTTTCAGTATGTTAGTTCTCATACACCAAGGGAGAGTTGTGCTTCTGTTTCCAGAACAAGTGGAAAGCAGAGAGCAGATGAGTTAATATCCCTGCATTGCTCTGCCAGACCAGTCTGCACCAAGCCATATGAATGGACTGATATTTCAGAGGTACCAGCTTTCAGAGGTATTCGGGCCTTCTCTTGTCAGTTATGGCATGACAGAAGGGCTTTGTTTATGGTGATGATTTGAGTAATTCCAGTATCTGTCCCTCAGGAGCTGAAATGTTATTGCCAAGCAGCTATTAGGTAGTGGTAGCTCCTTGCCTGGGCTAGTTTCAAATCAGTGACCTTGAAGTGAAGTGAACTGCACAGTAGGTGATTGGAAAAAGCTGAGTTATTTAAGAACAGAAAGTTCTGGGCTGTATTATTAACAATTTGTACTGTAATTGTTTCCAGATGAAAGATCATCATTGTGCCAGGTACCATATACACAGCATGAGAATTCATAGTCATCTTCCATTTTGGAAGATGGGTTTCTGAGTGGATAAGTCATTTCCAGGAACTCAGTAATTCTCAAGAATCCTAAAATATTGCCATGGCTTCACAACATTCCCTTCCTTATTCACAGTTTGAAAGACTTTGTTATTGTAGAAACCAGCAATTTGTTTTTTTCCATCAACTCTGTTTTCCTCGTTGCTGTGGGTCCCTTATCAGATGGCCAATTTGCTATGTGCATGTTTGAGAAAGATAGCCCCGTTGTGGTGATACTGCAATGAGGGATTTTTCCATGAAAAACGTAAACACAAACCAGACCAAAACATTTTATATCTTGATTTGCCTTGCAAATTGTCAGCTTCTCATCAGAGAATGTGAACAGCTTCAGCTGAAAAGGATTTAACTGAAAACATTTTAATGAACATTTGATATATATCATGAGAAAAACAGATTTTCTGAAATGTTTTGTCAGAAGCTCATCTTTTTCTTGACAAATGTTTTTTAGAGCAAGTTGTCCAGAAGTCCTTGTTCATTGGTCTGTGTGACTGGAAAAAATGAAAGGCCCTGGACCAAGAGAAATAGACGCCCAAAAGATTTTGTCAGGCCAGGCAAAGAATTTGATGTCTGAGGACAGCTGGCAAGGAGCTGAGATAAATCAGGTGCAAAACAAAAAATTTGGCATCCCCCAAATCTGTGTTTTTCCGAAGGAATCTATTGCTCTGCAGTATTCATGTCAAGTTTCAAGCATTGCTGCAGTCCAGCGCGTCTCTACCCTTTATTTTGACCTGCACCTCACTTCCAATGTAAACTGGGATAGCAACATTTAGGAACTTACTTTGACTTCTAAAAAGTATAAATCATAGTCAGGTTCTAATCCGGGTAATTCTTGACTGTTAAGGCAATTCATTAAACCTGCCAAAAAAAAAAAAAAAAAACTTCTACAAAATTATTTGACAAATCTCTGGCTCCTGAATGGAGTGAGTTATACCTTGAAATTATGCAAAGGCTTAAAAGGCTCAAGAATTCTTAAAAGCCTCTATTCTTGAGGCCTCTTCATCCTGCATAAATGGCTTATCTGCTGCCCACTTTATCCATCTGTTCTGCAACAGGACGCCGTCTGTTTCCTTCATGGGAGACTGTTGCAACAGCAGTGTGCTGCTGCTAACTAGACTCCAGTCTATTAACCTCTTTGATTAAATGACTCTAAGAAGAACTAGAGACACTTTTGATATGTGTGTACATTTGATCATAGAGTTGGAGAATGCTCTTGATATCTGTTTGATCACATCTGGGTTCTTTATACACTCTTAAAAGCAGCAGCAACAAACTCAAAAGAGAACCCCATAATGACTCAGATGTAATGAGAGATTATCTTCTTGTGTAACGATATCATCCCACCATAATATCAGTCCTTTTATTTCCCCAGGAGAACTTGGGAAGGGCAAAATATAGCTGGCTGTTTCCTGTCACCGTGAAACAGTTATTAACAAAGCATATCCCCCTCTGATGATTTGATTTTTTTTTTAAAGCATAGGATGAAGCAGGTTTCTGCATGTTTCAGAAAGGGGTAGGGGGGTGTAGGAGGCTGCCTCAGTCATGTTAAATTCATATTAGGTAGCACTTCAAGAAATGACTGGAAAGTAGAGCTGTTGTTGTTGATGTAAAAGGTCACAGACATTAATAGCCTGCAGAACAATTCCAGGATACAGAATTATTCACAACTGCCAAAACGCAAAGGAAAAGAGTTTAAAAAAAAAAAAAAAAGGAAATAAAAGGTTGGAAACAATGGTACCTCTCCATTATTATTGCTGCTTTTGTGCTTTTGAGGTTTTTTTTTTAAACTGTTCTTGAAGGGGAGCAGGGGGGTTACTTTTGAGCCATTTTCTACTTTCATCTTTTTAATGGCGATAGGAAATACGCCTTTTTTGACTCTGCTTTTATTTTTCTGTCCTGTTCATTTAGAAGTTTTCGTAGCAATATGAACTGTAGTAAATATTGATAAAATTCATGCTCTTCTGACTGAGAATAGGCTCTCCTGAAGGCTTCTAAAGGGAGTCCAGGCTAATTTTATTTTTTCAAGGGCTCCACACCAAGACAGAAGGAATGAAGATTCAGAAGAGGGAAAGGCCTGGAGGGGAGAGGAAATCAGCAAAAAGGAAGGGAAGATGTTGAAGGTTCGGCAAGGATTATGGACAGGTAACTGTCTTTCCCTCCCAAAGTTTTGTAACGAGAAAGGTACTGTTGCTTAAAGAAAACAAAGACAAAACCAAATTACTCGCTTTGTTTTTAAGGTTGGTCATACACTGATTTGTGGCAGAAGCACAGAAAGGAAGTGTTTAGCTCTAGAAAGCCATTCCAAAGAGGGAATAAAGAGCACTAGCCGTGTCAAATGGTAAGTTTGTGCCTATGCTGGTGTACCTCCCTCCCTCTTGCCCACGCACACAGCCCCTCTCATTTTCTCCTGGTCTCTCACCGGTAGCTGGGGCTTCCAAGCAGGGGAAAAACAAGTCAGTGTTTATAATCTTGATACTTGCATGATTTGAGGTGGCTGTTGATAAGAAAAATCCTCATCTGTATGCACCAGCCTTTATTATGCCAGCGAAGTCACAGATCTGTCATTTTCATCTATGCTGCTGGCAGGTCAGGTGTAGACTTATCAGCAAATAACAAATTGGGCACATTAGAAGCCAAGTGTATTATCCTGGCTAACAAGTCGCTCGTTCTTTAATTTGCTGAGTAGGATAGAAATAGGAATTTCTCTTTTTCTTTTCTGGCTGGAAAACAGAAGTACTGTTTTATTTTTAGCAACTCTTTCCTTTCCCACCATCCCTCCTCTCTCCTTCAATACAGATCAATAATTCCGTCCTTTCCAATAGATATATTTGAAACTCTACCCATACATCTGTGCACATCCTGTAACAGGAGAAAGCCCTGGTCTGTATCTCCATCCTCTCATTCTAACGACTGCAGTCCTAGTCTGTTTCTATCTGTATTTCAGCTGTGGTTCCTGCAACAGAGAAATCTTCGCAGGGATGGCTGAGGAGACTGCCAGCCGTGCGTAACATCACTGCTGCATAACACATCTTTCCCTCCTAGATTTGCCTCTCGCACCACTTATTGTCTTGTGTCGTTCTGGTGAAGCGAGTTCTCTTCCCGTTCCTGGCAGGTAAGTGTCTAACACGTAGGATTCATAGGATTCATAGGATTCTCGCCAAGGAAGTAAATAATTAAATGATAAGTCTGGAAATTTTTTAAGCTCCTTGAGGTAATATAGAACAGCAAGGGCTGAGGGGCAGTGGGTGATGGGATACCACTGCCATTTCTGTCAATTTTCTGGAAACACAAAGAAGGATCCTGTCTGCTAGGCTATCAGTCTAGTATGAAATTCACTTCAAAAACTGAAAGATGCTTTGTTTGAAGCAACGCTTTTCTTAGGTGAATGAAATGACAACAGATGTCTGAGTCCAAAAAAGATATGCAGAGGTGGACAACTTAGACTTTTTCATTTTAGCCATGCTTCTGGCAGGAGGAGGGAATGTATCATGGTCTTCACTTGAGTGAAAGACACGTGCTCCTGCTTTCTTTTCTGGTATCTTTCAGGAGCACATAGAACAGGCACATGTGAAGAATAACTCCATGCTGGTGTAACAGTTAGTGTTCAGGCCAGGAGACCTGGGCATGGTCTGGTCACGCAAAAGCATGAGGAGAGGTATGGCAGTTACTGGAGGTCCTGGAAGCAGCTGAAATGTAATATGTAGGACTGCAGCTCATGCTAGCTGCTGAATGTTTTCAAATATGTGAGGGCCAAATGCCACTTTGTGAAGGCATACAAAGTTGGGTAAAATTCAGTGGCCAATAGAAAATTACTGTATTTTCTCTTCCATTTTTTTTTTTTCAGTCTGCACATGCAGTAGAGCTTCAGTGTTTGAGGTGTCTGTGAATCAGTAGAGAGTTTGGTTTGCTATCAGTAATCTCAGCAGATACTGAAGCATGAACTAACCTCTAACCAGCATAGCAGGGCCTTTCCAGATTGGGACGGAGGCAGCCTGAATGGTCTAAGTGTATGGATTCTCAATCAAGCCCTTTTCCTGGGGACCTGCAATCAGATGCTTATAAAAATGAAAACAAATGAACCCCCCCCAATCTAAAATAGTTAAAGTAAACGTTAATGCTGAGGACATAAAGAAAATGGAATACTTTGTCATAATTCAGTCCATGACTCTCTAACCTATGCTTTTCACAAGGACATGTTCCTGCCATAAAGATAGCTCTAGAAGTATGCATTAATTTAGAAAAACAGTTGACATGCCACACAGAATCGAAGAGCTGTCACTCTGAATGAAAAGGGGAAAGGAGATGAAAAACCAACCCGGCCAATCCTTTTTCTTTCAAAGAAAAAAAAGAAAGAATCTATATTTCTGTTATGTGACTGCTACTGGTAGACAGCTCACCCATCCTGCCTTTTTCTTTCCTCTGATCATCTGGTAATCAAAACAGCCAGGGAATCTGAGACAGGCTCGATCAGGAATTAGATCACATGTAAATGTTGGCAGCGCTGGCTTTTATGGTAATAAAGAAACGCTATCAATGAAAAGCAAAGGAACTGTCTTTATTTTGCTTTTACTCTGTTCTTGCCTTGTTCTGGATACCAGTTCATACATTGCAAGGTAACAAGAACATCACGCCATAAACATCTCTGGATGCCACATGTTGGGAGGGAGGAAAGAAAGGAGTGAGCTAATATCTTTATGTGATTACAGTTCTGTCAGGAAAATGCTGTAATATGCAGGTAGAGCCAGAATGATTTTTCCTAATTCTGAGCTTGTGAAGAGAGCTTGGGCTTGAAAATTGGGACACACAGCATTGTAATAATACTCCTTTTGACAGTCGGTAGGGAAATCACGAGTACAGGAAGGGAGAGGAGAAGGGAGATGGAGGCATGGATTTTTTTTTCTGTATTTTTTTTCTTTTTGGGCTAGGATGGAGATTTTGCCATTCAGTTTAGCTCCTATTGAAGTGCTGCTCTGTTTACTTGAGAATTGCTATTTCAGAGGATTGCTTCTTCCTTGAATGATATTGACCTTTAGGACAAAGGTAATTTCCTTACACTACTACTGTATATCTTTGCCAAGTGGTGTTTCTAGAAATAAGGTTGAAGGAGCACAGTTGCTGACTTGGCATGTCTGTAACCATGGCCCAGGTTGTAACTGTTTTTTTCAGGGAAGGGGGATGGATGTGAGCTGCAGAGGGATGGGATCGCAATCTGAGATGAAGATGGTTATCATGTAAGGAGCCAACGCATATTCAAGGATGGAAGGCAAGTGTAACATTTGACTCATGTAGATTAATGGGATTTCATTAAATCAACATTCACCAGCTCGGAGACTGACCTATCATTTTTTACAATTTCAGGAGTTAGTTAAAAACTAGGGGATGATTCTCTGGCAGCATTCATTAAACCTACTGTGCTAAATAATCTCCATCTGAACCTGAGACTCTTCTCGAAGAATGACAGCTGCCGGACAATTGCACTTTGCCGCTGGTTATTGGGAAGCACAATATGAGCACGTGGCGCTAAAGACAACAAGGCTCGAATGGGATTTTTATTCCATGTACACATGGAAATTCTGCTGCCCTATGCAGACAGCTGAGACTTTTACGTATAGTAAAAGTCACTGGTGCACCACAAAGTGCCAGCAAAAAGCAAATGTAGTGTGATGCAGGAACATAAATGACAAAGAGTAACTATTTAGTCATGTTGACAGCTGCTCAGATTCCAGTGTGGGCACTTGAGCTTATAGCTTGGGAAAAATCTCATTGAAGCACTCCAATTCATCCTGATCAGATTTGTCAAAATAAAACAACGTCCTGGGGTCAAGCTGGATAGGCTCACATGCCTCAGCCTTAGTGACAGGGTGCTGTCATACTGCAGGGAGATGTGGTTATTCTGCAAGCTCTGACTGTGGCAGTGCCAGGCGCAGAGAGCAGGCTGGCAGCATAGGAGAGGATCAGGCATGAAGAGGAGTATCCAGACAGAGAGAGTTCATCACGTGCTTGGAGCAAACCTTTCAAGCCAAGGAAGTAGGGCTGCTTTCCTGTGTGGCTGGCCTTTCCTTGGAAGGTGGTCGCTCCGAGGCTTGGTGTAGTGGGTGTAGATAGGGATACCAAAGATCAAGTGATGAATAACACTGCTGGAGAGTCAGATTTGGCCACTTCTGGCAACTGAATCTGGGATGCTTCTTTTTTTCGACAGAAAATTCTATCACCCATAATTCAAATGCTTCTAAAAGAGTCCTAAAAACAGACTATAAACTGAAGCAAAATGAAGTCACTTTCGCAAACTTTGTGTTCCTGCCTCTGTTGTGTATCTGCTCTTTGTAATAGCTGAGAACTGATTCCAAGAGACAGACCTCTGTATCAGGCAGGCTGAGGTATCCCTGCAAAGATGTCAGGGGTCCAAGTGCTGCTTTGGTATTACGTGAAGTGAATTTAAGCACAGACAGAGCTGGGGAGAGTGTGGCAGACATTTCTTGGGGGTTCAAGAACCTCGTGCATTTAAGATGGTTCTGCTTTGGCTATCACACAAGCTATTTTTAGCTTTTTACTTCATATTTCTCTGTCCTTACGTCAGAAGTAGTCTTTTAACAGTCCTGGTGGCACCACTCCAGGTTCCAGACTGCGGTCCCAAAATTCTAGTGTGTCATTTGCCTGATCTTGAAGACAGTGGACGAAGAAGCCCTGAGGATGCGTAGGCACCGTTCACCAGGGGCATTGGGGATGGCAGGTTCATTTCCCACGGCAGAATTTCCCCCTTAATATTTAAACAAGGGCAGGCAAACTGGTGAGATTCAGATGTGCATTTCAGCTGGGCTGCAGATTTTCGCGGCAATATTAGTACTTGAATTGCTTGATCCAACAGGCAGAGCCACACTCTTTTAAAAAAAAACAAAAGTCTTAAATAGAAATTTCTAGTGGCTCACCTCCCTGGATCCTTTCTTTGTCCCCAAATCTGTGGAGGCTAGCAACATGTGATCTAGTTGTTGAAAATATGTTTCACTTTATGTGCTTTAAATGGCCTTGGCTTACACTGAAGATTCACTTCACTTGCAATTAGAGTTCATTCTGTTGTAACTGAGTGTAGCTGTACTTATCCCTTGGAAGGCACTGGTCATCCTTGGCAAGACGGATGTCACATGCTGCAGGCCTGCTGCTTTAATGTTTCCCCACACATCTGTGCCTAAGTAGCAACAGAAATACTACCTCTAACCTTTTCAAGGCTAGAGTTCCTCACAGCTCTCGCAGTAAGGGGGAGCTGTGTATGGTAAGAAAGGCTTTTATTGATTAGTTTTTGCACATGCTGTATCATTCTGTTTTTCCTTGTTTTGCATAAACCATGTGAGCATCAGCAAAATGCTGGAAAAAAAAGAGATTCTGGCAGGTTTTATCCATGCATCTGAAGTTCTGCTGCTGTCCATCCTGTTCCAACACTTTTCTTTCCTGCTTTAAATTACCATGCAAGATTTTGTGAATCAGCATCTGTTGGTACAGACCATGACTGTGGAGGTGTCCCTCCTGCTCTGCCGCTGGGATGCTGCATATCGGCTTGAAGGTAAGATGCTTCTGCTGAAACTGCCAACCAGTGTGCTGCAGTGAGTGCCTCCTGTGTTCAGCAGAGCACATGGCAAATGCCATAAGATTTACATGTGCCTTTTACACGTAATCGCTAGCTGGGGGCATACAGATGAAGGTTTGGCACAGATGAAATCGATATAATACCAACTCTTTCAGGGGTGTTGGAGAGACTTCTTCAGCTGGCAAAGCGGTAAAAAGATGATCTTAAGGTTCTAAACATTGGGCAGTTTACTAATTCTGCAGTATATTTGATGCAATGGCCCCAAGCTTTGTCGCACGCAAAGCATGTTATGAATTTTAGGGTCTTCCAATATATCGATTTAGAATATCACATTTTTCTTCTGTTTACGAGTGTGAATATAGAGAATAAAAGGCCTTATGGCAATCCACTCTTTCAAACTAAAGGAATGCCATGCTATTCAGCCGAGCGCTACAGCAAACCGCTTGCTCCACCACTAAAACCTAGAAAATGTGCTCTTCAGCACGGGAGCCTATCTTAGGAAACTACATCTGTTGCGTGGCACAGAAGCAGCACTGATTAAGAAATGAGGATGCTTTATAGCTGTGGCTGTTTACACAGGTCAGAGGGTCTTTGTTCAATATAGCTAATTAACTTGATTCTTGGCGATTTAAAGGCAACATGAAAGTACACTGGGAGAAAATGCCCTGACAAAGGTAACAGTAATTGGGAAATTGTGCTGCACATCACACCTTTCCTTTGGTTAGAGAGTAATTGGTTTTGCATAAGATGTTCACAGTCTTTACCCGAAGCATGTGTACAAACAAAGGCCCAGTCCTTTAGCGGCCCGTTGGGCTTTAACTGGTGTGATACTGCTTTGAGGCTGTTCCAGGAGTCTGCATATTTCCAAAGGGCAATTTGGATATTTTGTTGTTGCCGAAACCCTCCTGACTGAGTTTATACTAGTGTTATACTAGTATTTGCCAGCCATTCAGAAAGATGCCTTCTTCAAGGAAGAAAGATTTGCTGCTTGGAGCACAGGCGAAAAAGCAGTGGAAAACCTAGTGCAGTTTAAACTGTAGGAAGAGTGTTACTGAAAGATGTTTTGTCTGTTTAAATCAAAGATTCGTACCTTGTTTTGTATATAGTTGTTTTCATGTTCTAGATGTCTCAAATTTTCTTTCTTAAATACATTTATCCGTACATACAATTAAGCTTTGGCTAGTTGCAACATAGTAAGCATATGGGTAAAGAGTTGTTAGCTGTCCCTGCCGTCCTGGGAGAAAGACAACAGGGCAGGCTCCTGGGCTTCCCCTTCTTCAGAGGTAGGCAGCGTAGAGCTGTAGGATGAGTGTGCATAATGCTCTTTGGTGAATCACCTACTTTTGTGGGCAGCCAGCACTTTGTAATGAGGCTCAGATCTCCCACATTACCACTTGACTCCTGCAGCAGAGGATTTACACACATTGAGTGTTCACGGAAAAGTATGGCTCTTTGGTATTCTCCAAAGCTTTGGGGAAGAGGTTAGCTGCTATTTTGAAGACATAAACTCCAAGGCGAAGGCACAATTTTAGCAGTGTAGCATATCCTAGTCAGTGAGATATTCATGCTTTTCACCTTTGTTAAAGCGTGCTGTATACTCCTGCGTTCCCTTGTGTCTACCAGCCAGTGGCAGGAGAGGTCACTGTAGTATTTGACCTAGAAGGGTGCAGTTCTTTGACTACAAATCTAATCACTGGATGTTCTGCCAGTATTGCCATGAGGTCTAAATCCATAGCCAACCTGACTGAAAAGGCGAGATGCATTTCGGTTGTGCCCCCGTTTGCACTACGTGAGGTGACTTACGCAATGATAAAGGAGACTGGATCAAAGGCAAAACCCCTGCTTGAATCTTGTGGGCTGTTACCTTGCCTTTAGTGGCAGGTTAGTGAGAGGTTTTGCTTTGACTGGCGTGATACTGCTTTGGGGCTGTTCCAGGAGTCTGCATATTTCCAAGCTATTTTGGTGTTACATTCCCTATTGCACCACCAGTCCGTGCGTGACAGAGCTTCCTGCGCTCTTTCCTGAGTCCCCCTTCCAACATCGGCCTCCCACAGCAGGAGAGCAGAGCCTGCCCGTGTTGTGTTTCACACACGCATTACCATGAACATGCACTTGAGGGCCACAGATCTTCAGTTTAGCAGCTCCCGCCTTTATCAGAGTTATTATTCACTTGGAGAGGGAGTGGGAGTGCTTTCCATCCCTCTGTAGCTTTTATTTTCAAATACAAGGCAGAGTGGTCATTAACCTGTTCTGAGGGCAGTTTTATTTAGTTTATTCTTATCTCAGGTATTAGTTTCCTGAGCAATTTTATCACCTGCAGCTTTGGTGTTATCTGCTCAGTCCAGCATGACAAAGCCCCTGTCCCTGACCCTTCTGTGGCGCACCAGAGTCTTCTTGTCGCCCTGAGCCACAGTGTAGTTGGGCACAGCAGAGGCAGTTAAATAATTTCTGAGTTGCATGCAATTGGCTGTCCCTGAACTGAGTAGTCCTCTATGATCCATCCAGAAGAGTTGGGAAAATACAGCTATTTCTGTCTACCCCTACACTTTTAGATCCTTCAACAATAGAACAGTTAATTGGCCTCCACACATAGCCGTTTCTGGTTGCATAGTGGGTGGTGACCCCATACATTCAGCCTTTTAACTGAGATTGCTGTGTAATTAGGTATATGAATTGCAGTGCTTAGGAGGAGAGAATGGGT